TGACAAATAGCGTAAATTATAGCAGAGGTCAGAGGTCACTGGGGGCAGTGACTAGTAAGAACACTTCAGTGGTCAGTTTGATGAATGGCAAGAGTTTGAGTGTGGAACAACTTGATAGTTACAAGTTCCTAGGGCCCAGTCTTGGGGACACCAAAACTTTTGCGGGTTTTGCATCTAGGAACCCAAACGTGTTCTTATAATGAAGATCAGAGACATTATAAATGCTCCCAGAATATCTCTCCCTACAAAGGCTAGCTCTTCAAGGCAATTGATATTGCAAACATTTACCAAACTGAAGGGAGAAGTAAAGTGTAACAGAATAGTAGCAGGGGATGGACAAACTCTAAGGAAGTCACTAAATTTTTGTCACAAGAATTATAAGACAAAGTGTAAAAGAAGAGAAAAGAGAAAATAGTCATGTAAGTATGTAGCTATCCTCAGAGACAGCAGAAAAATGGGATAGTAAAGAAACAAAAAGGCCAGTGAATAGAAAACAGTCACAAACCCGGTAGATGTTACCCCAGCTACATCAATAATCACTTTAAATGCAGATGGTCTTAAAATGCTAATTCAAAGACAGCTACTGTCAGAATGGGTTTATTGTCTATAAGACACAGATTAAAAGAAACAGGCTATAATTTCCTGCTCCCCTCAGCAGTGTGTTTCAGTCAATCTGCCTGTTCTGCTCTCCATTCTGTCTCTGGTGAATTTTTTCACCCACTACGCCTCTGGACCACACCCCAGTTCTTCTACACACACACACACAAAAGAAAGAAATGAGCTGTACATAGATATATTAACAGTATCAAAATATAGTTGTGAAAAGTGGTGTGCTGGTTGGTGGTGGATATTTGGTGGTGGGTGAGGTGAGAAAAATGGCATCATGGAGCCCATACAGTGTTATAAACTAATGTTACCTCAACAAAAAATATTTTTTTAAAAAAAGATAATGGAACTAGCTACAGTAATTTCAAAAAAAGCTGGCATCAGAACTATAAAAATCATCATGAATAAAGAGGAACATTACATAGAACATACAATAATCCAACAAGGCAAAACAATCCTCAGTGTGAATGTACCTAATAGAATATCAAAAAGCATTAGGCAAACACTGATAAAACTGAGAGAGAAATGATAAATCAACTGTAATGGTTAGAGACTTCAATATTGCTCTATCAGGAATCATCAGATCCAACTGATCAAAAAATAGTAAGAATATCGTTGAACTGAAGAATATTATTAATATAGTAGATCTAACTGATAATAGAGTACTTCATTCAACAACAGCAAATTATAAATTCTTCTCCTACTTACATGGAACATTCACCAAGATGAATCCAAATGAGAATATAAACCACAGTGTTACAAATTTATAAAAATATAAATCAACAAATAGTGCTAGACAATTGGAAAGCCACAAGCAACAGAATGTGGATTTTCACACCATATGCAAAAATTGACTCAAAAAAGAATTAAAGAACTAAATGTCAGAGCTAGCATGATAAAACCCTTAGCTAGGTACAAATCTTCATGGCCTAGCTTAGGCAGCAGGCTTTTGGATCAGAAGGACAAGCAACAAAAGAAATAATAGATATACTAGGCATCATCAAACTTATGGTGCTTCAAAGACACCATGAAAACAGACAAAGGACAAAATAGACATATTTCCAAACAAGACATTAAAATTGCCAACAAGCAGAAAGAAAAAGAAAAATACCGGGTGGTTTCACTCATAGCAGGAGAATTAAGGACCAGGGGGGAAATAATAACAGTGAACAACTATACACCAGGGACATTTTACAGGAGTGGAGTGGAGTGGGGCAGTGGGGTCAAAAATGGGGCTGGGGGAGTGCCCTGGACAATGGTGATGGCACACGGGTGATCTGGTGATGGGAAGCCCACGGGGATTACAACTGAGATGGAAAAAGGCACAAAATGATGTAAAAATAAACTATAATATCATATCATGTATATATATTAAAAAAAAACAGTAAGACCAAACAAAGTTTGGCAACAAACACATAAAAGATGCTGACCATCATGAGTCCTCAAGAGAAATGGGGGCGCCTTCTACTGACTAGAGGGGCTCTTTGGGGATGATGAAAGTGCTCTGAAGCCACATCTGGGGTGGCTACACCAACAACCACTGAAGTGTATGCTTTAAAATGGCAACTTGGTTTGAGTCATTTATCAACAATGAGGCAAATAGCCTACTCTAAAAATAAGCAAGGGATCTGAATAGGTATTTCCCTGAATGAAAAGGTACAGATTTCCAATAAGCACATGAAAGGCACTCAACACTGTTCATGTTTAGAAAAATCTAAGTCAACATCAGAATAAGATATCACTTCACACCCTCTAGGATGAGCTAAAAAAAAAAAAAGTCTTACAATAACAAGTGTTGATAAGGATACCAAGAAAATGGAACCCTCATATATTATCGCAGAATGGAATAAGAAAGCCATCCAACCATACCTCTAAAAGTGAAACAGAATCACCAGATGACCCGGCAATTCTCTTGGTACCTAACCAAGAGAAGTGAAATGTTATGCTCACACAAAGACTCACACACACATGTCCACCGCAGCCCTGTTCATGAGCCATATGTTTGTAAACAGGCAATGGAAGAGCAGTATGTGGTATTTGTGTCAAGGAGTATTTTTTTTTTTTAGCAAATTAAAAAATGAAGTACTTTGGTGGTGGGTGTGGTATGGTGACATACATCTGAAGAGATGTGAGCCCACCCCCCCAAATCACACACAGTGCTGTAAACCATTACCCTCCATAAACAGTAATACAATTAAAAAGATTTTTCATTTTAAAAATAAATTAAAACATGAGGTGTTGCGATGTGGATGAATCGCAGAAACATTGTTTAGTGAAAGAAACCAGACACAAAAGACCAAGTGTTGTGATTCCACTCAAACAAAAATGTCCAGAATAGGCAAATCCATAGTAACGGAAGGTATTTCCGTGGTTGCCTTAGATTAGCAGTGGGAAGCACCTGTCAATGAGTTCAGGTTTATTTGGGGAGTAATGACAAAGTTCTAAAATTGATTGTGGTGAGGTTGCACTACTCTGAATATATTAAAAATAATTTTTGGACTCACTCCCACCCCTCCTCCTGCTAAAAATAATTTAACTGTACACTTAAAATGGGTGAATTGTATGCCAATGCAAATTATATCTCAATAAGTCGTTATATACAAAAGAATATGGCAGGGCCCTCACGGTGGTCTAGGGGTTAAAGTAAGAACAATCAAGCCATCAGCAGCCACTGCAGCATGAGTTTGATCCCCGGTCAGAAGGGTGACCCACATGGAGTAGCAGACCTCTCCTGCCTCGCCCGCTGCTCCCCTCAACAGTGTGCTTCAGTTAATCTGCCTATGCTGCTCCCCACTCTGTCACTGGTGAATCTTTTCACCCCCACCCCACACCTCTGACTTACACCCTAGTTCTTGCATGCATAAATAAAAAATAAATCTTAAAAAAAAATAAGGAATACAGCAATGATTATTCTTGTAAGCTGAGTGGTGGGTACAAGGATGTTTGTTAGAGTACCGTTCATTACATTTGCGTTTAGATTCTCTTTGCATGTAAAATACATATCTAAGTGAAAAAAGAATTGACAAGGCTGACAGACCTGAATTCTAATTGTTCAGCACTTACTAACTAAGAGTTCTTGGCCAGATGACTTAACCTCTCAATGTCTTATCTGTAAGGCAGGGGTGGTAATAATAGTAACTCCTGCATGGGCTTTTCCATCATGTGCCTGGCACACTGTCATTGTTATTATTAGCTAATGTTGGCTCTAGGCAGTGTAGCCACTGGTCCAAATAGTCCACATTCATAGCTTCTCTTTCTTTAGACACCAACTTTCATATTCAGTGTCCCTCAAGAGTTCACAACTTTGATCAGGAGAATAAAATTGAGCTTCACATAAGATCTGCTGACTTCTACCTTGTCATGTAGGAGAGCTACATAACAGCTCTCCTAACAAACTAGAACAAAGACGAAAATTGCCACCACTTCTGAGGGTTGGTGTCAAGCAGTGTTCTAGTTTGGTCCTGAAGTTAAGTCTCGAACAGATTAGAGGTTGTGCTTGTTAGTGTTGAGCAGCCACCAGGTCACCATAAGAACTTCCATGTTCTGCTCTTGCTGTGGCTCTGCCTAGATTTTTAGCACATGCCCTTCAAAGTTAAAAGCACATCTTCAAGTCTGTCATATAGTGTCTTAGCTCAGACAAATGTGCCAGTGAACGTGTCAGGGGTGGGTAGTCAGAGGGAAAGAAAAGGTAGGGGAGATGTGACTTTATGGTGTCTCTTAAAGGAAACACCATATTGCTGTTTTTCCATGCATCTGGAAATTTATATTCATGCAATTTTTTAATCAGAGCCCTTTGCTTAAAGTACCTGAACACACAGTTCACAGGGTTAGTTTCCTTACAACTTTCCCTCCCAATAACTGCCTTAACCACAGCACTGATGGAGACTTCCTCTACCAGACAAAGTGAAGAGAGATGCATCTAGATAGTTTAGCCATTTGTCAGCTACACAGATAAAACGCTCTTAGGGGTAGGGGTAGCTACCACATTGGATCTAAATAGAACCTGATCTCAGGAAAGCCTTCTCTGATGTTCTCTGGCCCCCAGACTAAGTTGATACCAGGTTGCAAAGTCCCACAGGGACCCTTTAATTACCCTTTGGTAAGACAACATGTTTGCAATGTGTAATTTCCTGTCTGAGTGCCTCAAGATTCTGCACTCCAGAGGGGAGGGACATTTGCTTCCTTGTTCACTTTTGTATCTGACCTTGCACAAAGTAGATACTCAACAAATACTGTGGACAATCTACCCATGTAACAATCAATCATTTCCTGGCATGAGGAATGAGGATGGTCAAGAGTTCAACAGGAAACCTTGCATTTCCTAATGAGGGGTCATCGAAAAGGGTCTTACTGGGAAACAGCCTTGGGGGGGGGGTGGAATGGTAAAGATTTACCTGTGTTGGGTGAGTACATTTACCGCTGAAGGATGATTTGCACAGTAAGCCAGATACATGGATTTAAAATGAGGCATGAGATTAAGTAGACAACCTCCTACTTTGTGCTGGTTTTCTGGAAACCTGTAGGCAAAACAAGTGAAACACAGAATGTAAAATTGTAAAGAAGGGATAAAGCAAGATGCTGCCAGTTCAACCATACAACATTTAAACTTTTTGCCAAAGGGGACACACACACCACACACACATCTCTGGCCTGTTGCATAAATAAATAAATCTTTATTTTAAAAAAATACAGACAAAATTGAATCTAAAAAATTAACACATTGCAAAGGAATATCATGCAGCCTTGGTGACATAGTTGTTGCAAGGCGGAGTGGCCTCAGGGTGCTTTAAATGGATTTTCTCAATTACAAGCTACCTGCTTTCATTTGTAGAAAAAATCAGAAAAGCTCATGAAAGAAAAACTCAGTATCCCACTATTCAGTGGTATCTATTAAACTTTCTTCTAGATGTTTCTTTATAAAATGGAAAACAAAGATTATGACTCCAGTTTGCAATCTGCTATTGCCACTTAGTGAACATTTTTCCACCTCAATAATCTGGATCCCTCTTGGCATCTGAAGTGGCTCCTCAGGAGTCTCCATGTGTCTCTCAGCACCTCCCTCCCAGGACAACCAGCCATGTGTCCCTTAAAGCTAAAAAACATGGCCCAGTTCCCCTGTGGACAATGAAAGTCTATAACTTTTCCAAGATCTATCTGCTTGGACGATGAATCTTGCTACAGAAATGTAGAACCTGCTGGATAATATCTAGCACCTCCACGAACTACCTGGCCCACAGCAATGTGTGGGTGGCTCACATCCAAGTACACTTTTCCTTTCCTTCCTTTTTATGAATTTAACTTTAATATAATAAACTACCAGGAGGGACTAAGTGAGAAGAGCAAGCTGTGAAATGACATGAACCATTTGAATAACTGTTCCAGGCAATTCTAAAGTACAAAACAAAATCAATGTCAAAGGTATGATCTATGGTCAATCAAGACCTTATTTGCCTCTTCCACTGGCCAGCAGCAGTAATCCAATATGACCTTTACATGAAGTCACAAGTGATGTACTAAATGCAAGGCCCTGATGGACAAGCGCTGTGCCCCTGTGACCACCACCTCCACATGCATTTTCTCCATGCTGGCACACATTCTCAAGCTGTGACAAATGCATAAATATAAATATGCCCCTATCTAAGACATCACCTAAGAGCAAAACTAAATGCAAGCAACTAACGCCTTTGGCAGTGTTCATGGCAATACACAACACTCACTTAGAACATTCTTCCAAAGCTTGGCAGAGTGTCTGTTGAAACGTGCATACTTCCTCGAAGTTTCCCAGTAAAGATGTGAACTCCACGGTACTCAGGCTGGAAAAAAAAAAAAAAGGCACATAGCTTCAGTGATCAGAATCTGCAGATGAATCTAGTCATTCTCAGTCTGGTGAGCTGATTCGTGGTGAACAACTGGCAAAGCAGACGAGGGAAGCAGCCCCTAGGTTCTAAGCTTTTCTTTGTAACTATGATCTAAAGCAACTTTCTAAAACTTCTTTCCTTGATGTCCCTTCTATAGAGAGAATAATGAGCCCAAAGAAAACGAGTGTTGAGGGGCATTTAGTTATTTTCCAAAGCAACGAGTAAATGTATAACAAATGTTTAACAGCTAGGCATCAAAATAGTTTAAGTGCACCAATGCTGGGAGTAACTGAAACCGTTTGTGTCCTCCCTTCTGAAGGAACTAGGAAAGTAACCGAGAGATTTGATGGATGTTCATATACAGAGTGAGGAAACACAGCAAAATCCAGTTTCTCCTCATTTAAAATGCTCATGAGTCACAACAAAGAATAAACAACCCCATCAAAAACTGGGCAGAAGAGCTAAAAAGACACTTCTCCAAAGAGGAAATGCAGGTGGCCAACAAGCATATGAAAAAAATGTTCAACATCACTCGTAATAAGAGAGAGGCAAATTAAAACCACAATGAGATACCCACCGCACACCAGTGAGAATGGCTCATATTCAAACAACTAGCAACAACAAATGTTAGTGAGGATGTGGAGAAAAAGGAACTCTCCTGTACTGTGGGAATGCATACTGGTACAACCACTATGGAAAACTGAAGGTTTCTCAAACTGCTAAAAATGGAGCTTCCATATGACCCAGCAATCCCACTCCTAGGTGTCTACCCAAAAGACACAAAAACACTGATTCAAAAAGACACCTGCACCCCCATGCTTATTGCTGCTTTATTTACAATTGGAAAGACATGGAAACAGCCCAAATTCCCCAAAGTAGATGACTGGATTAAAAAGATGTGGTACATATACACAATGGAATATTACTCAGCAATCAAAAAATAAACACATGTCTTTTGCAGCAACATGGATTGAGCTGGAAAAGATCATGCTTAGTGAAATAAACCAGAAGGAAAAGGAAAAATACTGGATGGTTTCACTCATAGCAAGAGCATAAAGGGCCAGGGGGGAAAAATAATGAACAACTATATACCAGGGACATTTTATGGTGGTAGAATGGAGAATGGGATCAAAAATGGGAAGGGAATGTGCACTTGTCTGTGGTGATGGGAAGCCCATGGGGATTACAACTGAAATGGAAAAAGGTACAAAATGATGTAAAAATAAACTATTGTATTTTTTAAAATGCTCATGAGTCAACTAAAGGAAATCTTTATGAGAGGAAGGAGGAGGGAAGAAGATAGTACTGACTTGTTTTGTTTGTTTTTGGAGTGGACAGGTGTCAAGTAAAGACAAATGGAACAATTTTACCAGGGCCTCTGGAGTAAGAATCACCTCACCCACTCTTCCCGGGACAGGAGTAGGCGGGGTCACAATCCTGAGCTTCACATCTAGGAGAGTATTTTACAGCCATGGGCCCATTTCCCCCTCTGAACAACCTTATGAGTAGGCCTAGCGCTGCCTCCACTGTCAACGTCAAGAAATCTGGGCACAGAGAGGCCAAGCAGAGCACCCCAGTCCCAGCCCAAGCCCCAAAGTCAGTGACTGGTAAAGGCTGAATGAGAACCAACACATTCTAGCTCTAGGGTCATGTTTTGCACCTTTCCGGAAGAGAACTTTTCTTAAGTTTTCCTTAAAAGGCCAGCATCCGCCACAGGTTCCTTCATCTTCACTTAATAATACTAAGGGAGAGTTTCCAAGAGAGTCATTTTTGCTGACAAAGAAAAAGGAAAACCAAACAAGTGTTGCCAGTAACCCCAGCGAGTAAAAAGCCCCCCGCTCATCTGCTACAATGCCCTCTGGAGCTACAGGCTGGAAAACCCCTTTTGGGGGTCAAAAGCGAAAGCATCAGCCTGCTTCCCTGGCTCCCTCTCTCATGGCAGCGAGAACCTGACTCGAGGGCTGGCCTGAACCTGACTTGGGGCTTATTTGACCCCTTTGGGGCCAGTAAACTGGCTTGCCCAAATCCCTGGCGTCTACAAGGCAGAGTGCATTGCAAACTGCGTGCTCGCGAGCTCCCTGGTAGGAAAGTCGCTCTGTCCTCAGGTCTCACAGCTCTGCCCTGTACAAGTTTCAGGTGCTCACGTCTCTGCTCTGGCTCTTTCCCTTTCCTTCCCTCTCGTGTTTCTTGACTGGTAACCAGGTCACTCCTTCCTTTGAGGGCTTCCAACCCACCCCCGGGGTTGCCATTCAGGTTCCCTCTCTCTGCCGCTCACCACAAGGAAGCAGAAGGAACACTTCTCTTGGTGGCAGGAGACACCATGTGCAAGTCTGGCCACATAGCACCGCAGTGAGCCTCTCTGGGTGTGGGTTTTCTTACCCAGACGGGTTGCTATCTCTTGCAGGACACTAGACCCAGTGATTCATCAAGGCTCCATTGAGGTCTAAGAACTACGATCCGCAGAACACCTCATCTTTTGCATAATAATCACAAAGGACACTTTGTTTTGACCATGTTTAGACTCACAAATCACAGGAATACAAAATCCTTTCATAATGAAGTAACATTCCCAGAGTGCTGAGAAAATAACAAGTGGGAAATTTAGCGAGACATTATGCGGTGGAAAGCATGGCTTGGGAAAAAGGAGAAAAAGAGTGAACTGTTTAAATTTATTTAAGCCTGAAGTCCCTAGCTTTGGCAACCAGTCAGTAAAAGTAAATGCTTGCTGAGGTAAAAGGGGAAGCTTTGGTCATCCATTATGTGGTCTGACTGAGATACTCTGATTTATAGAGCATTCTCTAGTGAAGTTTAAGCAGTTAAGATAAAAACACTAAGGAATGCAGTTAGCCACTATTTATTTGTTGAATGTGTCATGCCTACAAGCACAAAACAGTATGTTCAGTATTTTTCTTTCATGAAAACTAAGTTTTCAGTTGAGGTCTTAGACCATCACTTCCAATTTCTAAGACCAGAAGAAGGTTTGAACATTTTATTTAAAAAAGATATTTTAACATCTTTTTCATTCACTCTTGCCTGAGTGAAATGCCAGCTTGAATTGCTCTTGCGAACATTCACGAATTCACACTCTTTCCACTGTCAGCGCATAGCAAAGAGTTTGTGTGCTGGCAAGCAAAGGTCAGAGCAAGCACATGAGTTTGCAGTCTGTGTACTCTCTGCATGGAAACACCAGCACGTTCTTTTTCTGTAACGTAAAATCAGTTCTATCACTTTCAAAATGTACAAGATAAAAATTGTGGCAGACAGTACTGCAAATGTGCTCATTCCTTCCACAGCCTGAAGGAAAAGGAAGCCGAGCTCTCCAGAAGCAACATCTTGCCTCAGTTCTACCACCTTGACCATGTTCCTGGCAACCTGTGATCTGTGGAAATCTTCTAACGGGCAAAATCAACTATGCAGTGACATAAGAGTGATGACTTCACATGCTGACACTATCTCATGTTGTTCAGCAAGGGATTTAGAAAGTCAATCTTACTTGTTATTGGACTGTAGGGGTCTTAAGTAAGTAACAAGAAGCGACTGCAGTTCTTTAGCATAATCTTTCTCGGTGTCCAAGATGTTCTGTAACACCTACAGAGAAACAAAGGTCAAGGTATTATTGTCTGGGTTGATGCAAAATATAACTTTAGATCTTTTACCCAAATTACAAGAAAAAACAATCCTATTGACCCAGGCTTGCAATATAAGTAAGGAACACAAACTCTGAATGTACTTTGTTTCATTCCAGCAAATTGCTTTAATAATTGCAAGACAACCATCTACATTGCATAATACACCAACACAATGTTTCAGTTACCCGTAACTGGAGGGACCTTGCCATGTACACACTATTGTTCAAAATGCTTTTGTTTGCTTTCGATCATGTTATCCTCAGAAAGGTCTCAGTTAATTAACAAAGGATCACCTTTTCCATTTTATGGATGAGAACACTGAGAGCATTATTTTAAGATGTAGATTCAATTCCAGGATAAATTAATGACAACTGTGATATCAAACATCACAAAAGGTTTCACTTATGTGTTTGATCAGACCTTCGGGGGACAAAATCTGAGCACAATGAATTGTTCAGAGGATTAAAATCGGTCTTTTAATACAGGTAGAAGGTATTATCCTTAAAAAATTCAAAGGGGAAAAATGGAAATGTGAGGACCTGAACAAAGGAAAGAAAGCTTATCAGATTATTAATGACAATCCAATTAAAATCCAGTGGGTAAAACAATCAATCTACAAGCCATCGATTTCTCCCCCCAGTCCTAGGGCCATGATCCATCTCCCAGCCTCTTCTGGAGGCAGCTACAACCTTCATTTCAACCTCTCAGAGATAAAGCTGACATTTTGGTATATTCTCCCTCATATTTCCTAATTCTTCAACAAAAAGTTACCGAGTGTCTTCTCTCTGCCAAATGCCCAGCTGTCTGCGAGAAGCTTCCACTCTATTTGTAAACAGAGACATTAAACAGGGGATCACAAAACCGTGTGAAGCTTAGAGAAGCCCCTTAGCCAATCAACATGCTAGACATAGACTCACAAGACAACACATGATGATCTGCTTTTGAAAGGTGGCGTGGACGAAGCAAGTGGAAGCCCAAGTAGCTGCAGGCTCTTGGGAAACAACTGCGCTGGACGGTGGTTTTCCAGGCCCTGCTACCAACTGAAAGGTTGGTTCAGTTTTAAGGCTTCACTCACCTCATCTGAGATTATGACATTTCACCTATCTCAAGAGCCATTGTGAAGAGGTACAGGTAGGTGCTAGGTAGGTGGCAGACAGGCCCACCAATTTAAGTATGGGGTGCAGTGAAAGCAGAGCTTAAAGACAAATATGGAGCTGTGATGCCTTCATCAGAAGAAAGAGAACTTCTGGCTTCCAGTCCAGCATTTGAGGAGGAAGTACTTGCTCCATCCTTACAAACACATAACTGAACATATGAACAAAGATCTAACTTTTCTTGATCTGCTAGGAAATGAGGTCACAGGGAAAAATGCTATCCCCAAGATTGGAGAGACAGACAGACACAGAGAATCAAAGCTTGCTGAGCAGAGAAAGACCCACAAGCTCTCTGCCCTGCTGGGTTGTTGTTTATTGCTGCCTCTTAAGTAACCAGGTACTCAAGCTCAGCAATGGTATTCATTGCTTTTTCTTAGAAAGAGAATTAACCCAAAGTCAATAGTATCACATTTTATCAAGAGGGAACACGTCTATGCAGATTGTTTCGTACACTTCAACTCTTGGTTGATCCATATTTGTATTGGGGGAAAGCACGTTGACATGGCTTCCCACTTACATTCAAGAGGGAATGAAGTCATCGACTCAGGTCCTTTTTACATTTTCTTTTTCTTTCTGAAGTAGAGTTGGATTACAACACTGCGTATGATTCAGGGGTATAAGTTCACACCTGCTCAGTGTACTCACCACACCATGCCCACCCCAGAAGCACCCACAGTCCTTCATCCCAGGTTGTGGCTTCCCCTTCCCCTTTGTCCCATCCCTCTCCCCTCCTCAATCCCTCACTTCTACAGTCGTAGTTCTACGATTTGTAATAGTTTAGTTCTATCCGTTCCTTTGCCTTATTTCTCTGCAGCCCACACATGAGTGAAATTATCCCCTATTGTCTTTCTCCTGACATATTTCACTCAGCGCCACCCCTCCAGGTCCATCCATGTTGTCACAGATGGCTTGTTCACATTTTTCAAAAATAACCCTATTCTGGTAACAAATCATCTCACACCCTCACCCTCTTTTCAAGCACTGCTATCTCTGTCACATTGCACAAATTATAGCACCTGTTACACAAAAAGGGACCACAAAAATTTTTTTAAAAGTCATTATCTGAAGGGATTTTTTTTTAATTAGAAGAACCACAGTTACTATTTACACCATAAAATTAAGTTTTAAAACAAACAACATAGATTGAATTCCATGGTTGCTATAAATTAACCTCCTTCCTCCCATGGAAATGGCTTCATAATTTCAACTCCCTTTAAAATGTTATCACCTGAACAGACAGCCCACTAATTGGGAAAACATTTTCTCACACAAAAGTAGTGATAAAGGACTGATCACAAAAATATACGGAGAACTGATGAAACTCAACAAAAATAA